AAAATACTTGCTATTACGTAACTCGACATTTCTGGAGTTTTAGAATATAAACCAATGATGATGGCTTTCAGTTCGCTCTCCTTTTACGCGCTGGTGTTCTCCTCTGATGGCGGCGGATACACGGAAATGTGTGGAGGGACAGTGCTGAATGATAGATGGATCCTGACTGCTGCTCATTGTTTGCCGTAGGCCCACCATTTCAATGGGGACATTTTTGGTAGGAAGGGCTTGGTCGGATCATCGGTGAGGCTGGGGTTGAGGACGATGAACGAGGTATCACAGAACGTGCGGATTGTCAAAACTGTGTCGCATCGCGGGTTTAACATCCGTAGCACACGCGACGACATCGCGCTATTGAAGGTAAGCCAATTTGATCGTAAAAATGCGGTTTTTAAGACAGCTCATCCCATAAAAATCGGCCATGGCGTGACGACCGTTTGCCTGACGCGTGATGATACAAAATTGCTCGGCGAGGGCTCAAAAGCGCTGGTGGCGGGTTTTGGAAAGGCCGTCGGTACGTTTCATGTACATCGAAACCTTCATAAAAATCGTTATTTTTAGAAAGAATACCCCTCGGTGTGCGGATAACGAACGGCCCGGCAGACCGGTTGAAAACCTCGGTCGTTCCGTTGCAGGACACGAAGACCTGCTGGTAAGGGCGACAAATATTTTTCCTCGAGTTTCCGATTTTCAGGCTTAATTGGTGGCGTGCTTCCGGAGGCACGACAACCGTCGGCTCGACGCAGATTTGCGCGGGGAGCTTGGGCCACGGTTCGGCGCCGGTAAGTTGCGTGAACCCTTGGCTAATCTGCAGGGATTTTTTCGGCTCTTTAAAGATTTTTGACCGGTTTTCTTGCAGGGCGATTCGGGAGGACCGCTGTTGGTTAGGGACCGATTCGGGAATGTGGTGCAGGTAGGTGTTGACACGCGGTTCATCAAGGAATCTCACGATCAAGGACCTGAAAAATTGAGCGCTTTCAGATTGGAATCACGTCATTTGGTGCTAATGGTTTTGAAGGGGTGCTGGATCAAGCGACATTCCCAGGTAATTCGGACCTATTTTACACCAAATATCGTTTTTTTTACCAAAAATGGCCCATTTTCTAGTAATTTTTTAATTTTCGGAATCCTCAAAATTTTTTTAGATAGATTTTCGATTTTAAATAACGCTAAAAGTTACTAAAAAACATTAGTAACTGCTTGATATGACGTTTTTTTTATAAAGAATCCAATTTACTTTTGGCTTTCGAAGAACCAACATTCAGGCTTACCTTTTCAGGTGTTTACACGCGTGTTTCTGCTTATATACCATGGATTGAGCGGGTGCTGGCAGACGATGCCAATTCGGGTGCTCGGCTATCAACGATTGTGCTTTCCATCGGGTCCCTGGCCCATTTGTTTCGCTAATAAAATTTCTACCAGTAAATTCGTCGACAAAAACACATTTCGCAACGCTTCTAAAAAACAAACTGGGTGAGAAAGTTGACTCATCGGTGGGCCAAACGCTGGCCCATTGCCAAGGTAATCGGCTCTCACCGATGCTTTGTTTGGCTTGGCCATTGACCGGGCCCTTACAGAGTAGGGCTGGCCAAAATTGGTGGGGCATTTCCCGGTTTTCGAAGATGGCTGCCCGGAAATTCCTGGTGTATTTGGCTGTGACTTTTGCTGTAGCTGCTCATGTGCGTGCGGATTGCGTCGCGAACACTTGTAATGTTTGTCTGACGTCTTCAGGCTGCGGGTACGATATAGCAGTGTACAGTAGTTGATGACTTGTTATTATGCTTAGTATTTTAATAGGGTTTTAGTGGAATTAAATACTACTTCGAGTGAAAAACTATCTAAAAAAATCCTTAAAAAGTTTTAAAATGCTAAATTTTGCTTGAAAATCGGTTTTGATAGAGGAATCGATTTTTTTAATATTTTTTAAAAATAAAGTGTTTTTTGTAAAGTTGTAAAGTTTTTACATTTAGGGGTAGCAAAAAAAAAGTTGAGAAACGCTAATTCTCTTTTACTAGAGAAAATAGGCACTAAAGAAAATGTTGCTCTGTCGTGGTGCCCCCGATAATGCAAAAGAACCGGGTATATGGTTCAGAAATACGAAAATTATTTGATAAAATAGCGTAATATTCCCTTGGTTACCAAATCCCGTCTAAAAAATCGTGCTTTAGCTGGTGTCCGGCTTCCGGTTGTCAGCCTATTGGTGCTTCATGCCCCACGCCGGCGTTAAAATCTGCATTCAATTGTCCAAAAAACAGCACGGTGCTGTATTATGAGGATTATGTGAGAAACACTGTCTATCCGTTGGTCGGTGCCACAAAGCCTACGGTAGAAAAAGAGGTATGTTGGGGTAGTGTGTAAGGCGTAGCATTACTAATACCCCCAGCTGGAAGTCTCCAAAAGTTTTTCGCTATAACTTTTTATAGTACATTATTTTGGGCGGCAATTAAAACTCTTAGTATATTTTTTGATGATCTATCGGATGGCGGGGCGAAAATCCCGAAAAAAATAGCGAAAATGCCAAAAAATGAAAGAAAAATTCCGGCTCCGGGGTAAAGTCAAGTCTAGCCTATTCTTTAGATTCTCGCCTGTGCTACGAAGGGCGCATCGGATGTGAAGCATGTGCAGCGGATTAATGTGACTTGTTCGCCTGGGAATATGGTAAGAAATTTGGCGATTACCGGACTTTCTTATATTACCAAAAATACAGAAATATCGATTTCTTTTTCGATTTGTTTGCCCAAAATTCAGCTAAAATTTTTCTAGTTTTAAAAAACCTGTTTATGCCCTTCAAATATAGCTGAATTTTATTAAAAACATTATTAAAGCACCCACATTACCCGTAAGTATTTTTCTGGCTTTGGCTTCAATCGCTTTAGGACCCTTGCGTAGCCGATGTTTACGTGCTGGCTTCCAAACGGTTGATCGCCATTGTTGCGCACGGATCGAGCACCCAGGATCAGTATCTCCATCAGGCCCAACAGTTCCTGAACGCCTCCAAGATGATGTCCGATATGCCGTTGTTGGGCGGAAGGGTTGGTGGTTCTTTTGCATTATCGGGGGAGGGGGGCAAGTTTTTCTTGTGTTAATATAAATAGCGAAAGTGTTTCTACAGTGACTTGATTATTCCTAAGCACAAACTATACAAATTTTCGTTACAAAATACAAAACTGCCGATCTTTGAACAAAGTTTTGTATCTTATATATTTTTGGGCTTTTAGCGTTTTTAAGTAATTTTTAATATAGTTCTTTCCTAATATAAAGAGATCAAATTTTTCTGAACTGTTTTTTTTTGTATTATTGCTAAACCTAAAAAATAAAAATTTTACTTGAAAATTCCGAAAAATGATGCACTTCGGTCAAAATTTCGAATTTTTTCGATGCTGGTTGAAGTTTTTTTTGATAGAGAGAGGTATAAAATAGATAACGCCACATTTTCCTAAAAAAACTGTAAACAATGACTTAAAAATCGAAAAAAAAAATAGATATTTTCTCAAAAAAGACCGAATTTCGACAAAATTGTCTGAGTTTCAAGTTTTTACAAGTTTGTTTCATAATTTTCGCGCTTTAATGATTGCTAAATTTTGCTAAAAACACTATTTTAACGCTCATTTCTAAGCGAACCCCACCCCCCATAATGCCTAAGAACCTTTTTCCGGTATCTGACGCCCTTGAACCACTTGAACCGCTTGAGCCGCAGATCCCCCGCGAGTTTGTACGTTCACACGAGCCAGAAAATCCCCGTACGCAAGGCTATTGTTGACATACGCGCCGCGAATAGGTGCCAGCGCTCGGACGGTCCCTTACTGTCCTATTGACTGTCTTCACTTTCTGCCTCAAGAGTAGGGCGGAGGGTCAGAGGAAAACAGAGAATCCCATCCCGCTCTCTCGCACCCTCACACACACAAACACACACACAAACACCACATCTCCACTGAGAAAAACGAGAAGCTAAAGGGAGGCTAAAGGCAAGGAGGGGGGATAGTCCGTTTGGGCCCCTCTTCGCTGGACAAACAGTTGCCCGGGCCCATCCATGGCTCGAGTGCCTTCTTCCGAGCCATTTTTGGTAGAAAAAACGCACAGAAAGAACAAACGCGGATAAACAGGACTCTTTTGCATTATCGGGGGGGGGAGGATTTTTTGCAAAATCCAGAAATGCCTACTAACGTATTCTCGTATAAGTATTTTCATAGTTGTGAATGGAATTTAGCTATTTTTCAAACAAACAGAAAAGCTATCTAAAGCCTCAAAAAAATTTTAGTACGAAATTTTCGTCGAAAAATCTATATTTTTGTACTTTTTTATAAATTTTGTAAAGTTTTTGCGTTTATGCATAGTAACGGGCAGTTTAGGAACGTTTGCTGCATTTATATTAGCACCCACCCCC